TCATCTTTTGTGCTTGCTATATACAGTCATTTTTTTATGATTACTATATGATATTCGTCCGTTTCAACCGTCGTTGTCATCGCTATTCATATCTGTGTTCGAATCCATCATCATTATAACAGGTGTATATTATTATGACACTCCTGATTATATTATATACTCCATTAAGACGGTCACGTATATACATGACAGAGATGGTTAATCTTGATTCACGCTGGCATCACCTGCGCATGCTGACGCATGATTAAGGCGCTAATTCGCGGTAGTACACGCGTCGCTACGCACGCACGCACGCACGAACGCACGCACACGCACGCACGCACGCCGTGGACGTTGTGGTTCGATAACGGTGCGTGCGGTGCGTACGGGGGGGGGGGGCGTGTCGGTGATTGGGAGGGAAGCCAGCCGCACGAGCTATATAGTGTGCTGACGCAGCATCTTTCCTCTAGATGATGCCTAGATCGATGTATATACAGAGTTCGCCATTAGTCGTCTAATGAATGAGCGTCTCTGGTGAACTTGATAAACACACTGGCGTGTGTGTGTGCGTGCGTACGTGCGTACGTATGTGCGTGTGTTCACGCAGGTGTGCGTGCTTGAGGGTGTTGGTGAGATAATAACCCTTACTAACTCCCCGAACATAATCATTACTTTAAAATACAGTTAAAAGTTGGCCAGGTGAAAAAATATGGCGAAAGTCGTTTAAAATATGCGAGCAATAAGAATTCTACCATGCAATTTTATTATGAAAAATGAACATGGAATTTAACGCGCTTCCTCTCTTGTTCGCTTTACATAGATCGGTATATTTTAGCCATGGAAGTAACTTGTAATAACTGTGTAGCGGTCGTGCGTGCGTGCGCGCATGTGTGTGGATGTGTCGTAGTGGCGTGAGCCTGCCACTTATTGCATCGGGTTCTATCAGAGAAGAATTATGAGAAATTTTGTCATTATTCACCCCTGGTTTCATGTTTGCGCGACCCAGCGCTAATCAGACTCCACCTCTCTCGCTGGGATGCTGGTGATCGGTCACCAGGCCACAGCTATCAGTAGGCGTTCGTGCTGGCGCGTTGATGCAGTCTGGTGAAGCCACGATACGATGGGGGGTGGCAGCCTGCATTCAGGCCTGGGAAAGTCAGGTGCACTCGTTAGATTAGTAGCGACTCATTATCCGGTGAATGTCGTACGTTGACATTCCGTCAAGGACTCGCAGTCGATCGCCCCCCCCCCAACCTGCATCGACCGTATGTGCGACCGACAGTGCAGGCAGTGCGTGTGTAGCGGACACGTACATACGGGCGACTGCAATCTAGTAATTGCGTCTAGGTAAGGGATGCTATACGATATTCGGGGGGGGGCTGCACTTTTTATCTTTGCGAGATTCTTGCTCTCTGCTTCTGCTTCCTGCACCGCGAGTTCCTTTCCTTTGAGCACACCGTTGTAGCAATCGCTTCGCGTGACAATTCCGTCATTGGAATTTAAATATTCAGTGTGCCGCATTTCCGTGCCAATACGACGGGTAGCATTGTGGAACACACATGATAACAGGCATTTATAAGTGCGAGATGATCTAGCTAGAGATTGTATCGCTGTGTGCCATATTTTCCTTGGCAATCGTTCATGCGTAGTCGGTGTATGTAGGCTCTACTGATGTGTCACATTCCGTTTTTGTGCGGCCACGACCAGCTGTTTAAATTTATAAAACAAACTATTTAATATTAACTAGCAAATAAATTACTTGGGAAGTATCTCTGTTAGCAAAGTGCGCATTATCAATCGTTTATCCTGTACTTTGTACAACTGTGTTTATTTTCACAGAGTATAATTTGCATGTTTGCTTTTTAAACGGCAAATTTTAATTGTAAGCCTGATTGGGGTTCAATTATAATATTGTATGTACCTGTAGCATATGTACATACGTGCACACGTGATATAATAATATGTATCTCAAACATGTGATATATGTATTATATAAACTATTATATATAGAGCTTACTTATGATCGAAATTTGTTGGAATTGTCATGCTATTTGACTTTATAATAAAAGAGTCATTATTCTGCACATCGTATGAATTGCAAATTATTTTATTTCTGATATATCTGTTGCTCTCACGTTAACCGCAGCTTTCACCGCACGCGCATAGCGACATGACATCAGACGACCACTAAACTATCACACTTTTGTACACGGCAGAATTTCATTTAGGGATACCATTACGTCATCAATTTCCGTTTACGACAAATGCAGAGGGAAAGTGAATCGCGATCAGGGCCAGTTTGAAAACAGAATTCTGGCGCAGATACAGTGTAATCTGTATATAACGGTCAATCAGAGAAACGGCAATAGTGACCTTTATACGCAGGTGACGTCATGTGACCGTTCTACCGAGGTGGGACTGCTAGGGACTGTAGTTTGCTTATAATTGTGACCACCGAAATCCTTAACTATGGGATTTATTCAAATCTTGTAATCCCACTGGAATTCATCGCAGGATTTTTTTTATCTGTGTGCATTTACTGTTATAATTAAGCTGGGGTTACACTACCGACTTTGTGTTGGCGAATTAGACCAACTTTCCAAGTATACAACCGACTTGCAGGGCAAAAGCAAAACTTGCGCGACCTACTGATCGATAGCAACTACTTGGGAGATTAGAACATGTTCTATTTTCGCCAACTCGGAGTTGCCGAATTGCGAAATTGGTCCATCTCGCTAATTCGCCAACATAAAGTCGGTAGTGTAAACCCAGCGTTATGCTGTGTGTGCGTGCACTAAAGATCGTGTCTGCTAGAACTTTGGCTTTATACACGCTGCGGCTACTCGTTGTTTATAGAAGTAGATGTTACCAGGAGTGTCATAATAAATATAGATCTATATTATGACGCTCCTGATGGTACTATTCCTCACATTCATCTCGCTGCTCTCAAACACATATACGATCATATAAAACAAATGTATTTCTACTTACTGCTGTTTCTATGGTGTGGACCACGCGACTATCCTTTATTCTCTTCGTTTGTTTTTTATATACAGCTACACGCACGTGCCTGCTGCGTGAAAGTATATTTTCATGCAGAAATGTCAGAATAGTATTGACGCTGACGTTATCACAAACATGAAATGCATTGCCATTGCCATTGCCATGTATTATATATATGCATGTTGACTCTCGTTTTTCCCTGGCTTATGCATATATACACTTGCTGATACAATAAAATTTGTCGATTCGTTTGAGTGATTGCTGAAATGGGAGAAAAGTTGTTCTCACGTGTAAGTTGTTATGGGTGATATTTGGTGGTGATTGAACTCAAAAGTCTGATGGCTTAGTGCGTCACTAATATTGAAAAATTATTATCATCATCATCATCGTTGACGGCGGTGTGGCGGCGGCATCATAATCGTCATTGTCGTCGTTATCGTCATTGTCCTCGTCATCGTCATCATCGTCGTCATCATCATCTTCACTATCGTTATCATCGTTGTTGCCATCACTACTTAATTATTGATTGTTGATTTAATTATTATTAATAAATAAATGACACTGTTATGTCAAGCATTTACACAAGCTGCTTGTGGTATCTTGAAACTATATGCTTCTTATTACACTGACATTAATTCACTGTCATTCATCTCTATTAAATCTCTATTATCGTGCTAGTGAGGTCTTACGTATACACATATGTATATATATATATATATTTTTCATATCTTTCGCTGCTACATAATTCCAACAGTGAATGGCCGGCCAAATATATGTAGCGTATGTGTAGGAATGTGTCCTGAGATATATAGATGCGTCATTTTTTATTGATTGCTATATAGGTGCAGGTGTACGTATCAGTTTCTTTCGAGATAATTGTTCTTTTAGCGGCGAGATATCTGTCTGTTTCCCTGGGGGCATTTCTTAGCGGCGAGATATCTGTC